CATTTTTTCACATCTGCCTAAAACATTTGCACAGTACTGTGTATGTATGTATGTATGTATGTATATAGAAGTTTACCATTAACAACTTGCTGCCCTATCTGTAAATCACCCTGCAAATTTTGAACTGAACAGCAGAATATACATTTTGTAAATTAACATTTATACTGTAATAGTTCAATCTTTAAGAAAACTCAAGTCATAAACCATGGCTTCAAATTTTGGTTTATAACAAGCAATAGATCCTGGTTTGGACATACCTCAGAGCTTTGCTACTATTATTAAACCTGCACTTCTGTTCTCTTGTCCTGGATAAAGCCAAAGGAACAACTGATACACTTAGTTCTTTTTTATGTTGTTTATTTGTTTTAGAACAGCAAAACATTTAGTCCGTGTAGGATGTATAATCTTAATTATACCTTCTGAGTTTATAGAACATTAGCTACTGCATGACTAAATTGCTTTTTTAAAATAAACTTTACAATACTCTAAGTACAGTTTGCCATTTATTCTCCTACACAACCTGTAGGTTGAGAATTACACATTAGTTGACATCATAACTATTCAATTTTATAACGCTACTACTGTACAATTTTCTTCCCACAAGTATATAAAAGGGCAAATTACTCCTATTTCAACTACAGTTAACTGTGATGGAAGCTGATAGTTTACTTTTTAGATGATTTTCACCTATGCTCTAGAGATCTTGTTAGACCTTCTTGGACAAGCACAGTAACTGAATGTAAAACTGGAATACAACTGCTGCTTTATTTTTATGTTCTTGTATAAGAACATAAGCCAATTGTTCTTGACTTATTCCAAAGCAGCATTTTTCCAAATAAAATCTTTCTACTACCATTGTTTAATCAAACTAGTTTCTGACATTGCTCTGGTCTGCAACACCAAAAGAGCTAGACAGTTTTCTCAAAAAGAATTTCTTCCTTTTATTAGTGCTGTAAAATTCATAAGCATGGCTACTGTCTTTGGCCTCACTGGGAGCATCTGCATACCACCAGAAGATTCTGGGAGAGTGAGGAGGAGCTCACCACGAGCAACAGAGAAGTGGGACTTCGGTCACTGGATCAAGCTAGCAGCCTGGGAACTGCCTCACTGGGAGTGTTTGCATACCACCAGAGGATTCTGGGAGAATGAAGAGGAGCTCACTGCAAGCAACAGAGAAGTGAGACTTCAGCTCATTAGTTCAAGCTATCAGCCCGTGCATGTGAATCTTACCACTAGGAATCTAAATCAGGAAGTTTACAAGGGAAAATCTGTTTGGAAAATCTATCTGGATCTGCATAACCCTCAACAGTAATAAAGTCATGGAGAAACAGGCTAACACCATGATGAGTGCTATATTTGTATTCCTGCCCAAGAAGGACTCCAATTATACCTGCACCAAGTGCAAACTGATCAAATTGCTGGAGGAGAAAGTGGAGGGTCTAGAAGCATGTGTAGGTGCTCTGAAACTCATCCATGAAAATCAGGATTTCCTGGAAAAGGCAGAAGTCTGACTACAAACTGAACACAGCAAGCAAGAAACAACTACCAGGAAAAATGGAGCCCTACAGGAGAAGAGATGGCAGCATGTCACTCAGAGGACAAAAAAACCTGAGAAAACTATCCCTGCCACTGGAGTTTAACAATCAATTTCATACCCTCCCCTGGAAGAAGACATGCAGACATCTGGAGAAGGGTCTTCATCTAATATTCCAGTTACAGGAAGAAAAGTAACTCAGACTGTCACAGAGGAGTTTGCTGGGTGTCCCAAAGAGGAAAAAGTGTGTGGTGATGATTGGTGGCTCACTTCTCAGAGGAACGGAATCAGCAATCTGCAGACCAGACAAACTATCAAGGGAAGTATGTTGTCTCCCAGGTGCAAAGATCAAAGACATGGCAAAGAGGCTTATCCAACTAATCAAGCACACTGATTATTATCCCTTTCTCCTCTTTCATGTTGGGACAAATGATACAACAAAAAAGAGCCTGAAAAAAATATCAAGAGACTATGAGGAACTAGGCAGGAAGGCAAAGAGTTAGGAACACAGGTAGGGTTTTCATCTGTACTTCCAATGGATGGTCAATATCCAATGAAGGAACGGAGGATTTCAGAGGTAAAGCACTGACTCAAGGGATGATGCTGTCAAGAAAACTTAGGATTTTTGGACCATGGTCTACACTACCTATAAGATGGACTTCTGGCAAGAGATGGGCTCCACCTCACAAGGACTGGGAAGAATGTGTTTGGAAGGTATCTCACTCAGGTCATCCGAAGGGCTTTAAACTTAATCTGGAGGGGGAAGGGCCAATTTCTAAGACCAAACCCAAAGCATAAGCTCCAAGACAACAAATTTGATAATAAGGAAGGAAGTGGTGAGAAGGAAGGGGTACTCATGAATAAAACAGCAGACTCAGCAAGCAAACGCAAGGTCAGCCATAAAGGGCTCAGATGAATGTACACTAATGCTCAAAGTATGGGGAACAAACAGGGAGAACTTGAAGTCCTAGTA